CGTTAAGTATTCTAAATAAATACAATGTAACTAATAATTACAAATATAAATTTAAACATAAGATTTTAAAAATTATCCGGACATTGATGACCTGAAACTAACACAAAATTCGCTTGATGGGGTTTTGTATTGATACGAAATTTTGTTTGTGTCGTATGATGTGTTAGATCTGCATGTAAAAAAACATTTAGTAAATAAAAACATAAACATATAATCGTTGAGTATCCCAAATTAATACAATTTAAGTAATAATTAGAAATACTAATTTAAACATAGGACTTCAAAAATTAAGCTAAAAATTACCCGGCCATTGATGACCAAAAATTGACGCAAAATTACTAACACAAAATTCGCTTGGTGGGGTTTTTTTATTGATACAAAATTTTGTTTGTGTCGTATGATGTGTCAATTTATAATGGTATGTATCACAAATTTTAATTTAATTATAATTAACGAACAGTTTGTATTTCTTATCATAAATACTATCAAAATTTATCTTATAATGATAGGTATCAAACTTTATTATAAGCGTTTATCATTTAAATATTTATTAGTATATTTTTTTTTGGATTTCTTATACTCGTAGTATTAAATTAATAAATTTATCTTTTCCTATATTTTTACTTTATTTTTTTTTCATCAAAATAATTTAATTCGTGGATTATAATCTACGTGGAATTAAAGTTTTAGATATATCAAATCTAATTCATTACTTTTATCTAGGTGGCGACATAATTTTTTGATTCAAAAATAAAATACAAATCTTTCTTCTTATTGGTCGAAATAAGTATATTTCTTACGTGGCGCTCTAAATGATCTCCAAAAATTCCTACTTTATTTATATAATTAAGATTATTATTATTAAAGATTGTTGTTTTAATTTATATTGTTAGTTTTAATTGTTTTAATCATGTTTAAATTCTTTAAAAACATGAGAAATTATCAAGTTTATAAATTATGATATGTGGTCTAAAATTTTAGATTTATAAAATTTGTGAAATTAGGGCTTAAACCTTGAATTTTCATGATTTTAGGGCTTAAAACGTGTTAGTCAAGTTACTTGAGTATATAGTGTTTTTATTGTGTTAAAATTATACTTTTGATGATTAAAACTAATTTTCAGATTATTAAAAATATAGATTTGGGAATTTAAACCATTCTAAATCATGTTTCTTAGAGTTTCCTATACACTACATGATCGTTATGATTAAATTATGTTAATAAGTTATTAAAGTATCAAGTTTAAGGTTTAAATTAATTTTCATATTTTTGTAATCTGTATCTGTTTTGGTATAAAAAATAATAGGTTTTGAAGTTTCTACTTATATATTTAAGCTATTATTCCATTATTACAAGTATGGGTTGTTAAATTTGCAAAGGATGCGTATAAACTAAATTTTTCAGATTTAGTTAGTAGCTTAAATATGCTGTAATTTCATATATAAAGATGTACTTTAAGGTTTTTATGAAGGAAACTTAAAGAACTATATATAAGCTTTTGATTTTAATTAAAGGGAAGGTTTTAAAGTGTTGTTTAATTGGATTTTGAAGGTTTTAAAGTAAGTTAGTATTGCTGTAAATTTTAGGGACTTGTTATTCATCGCCCGCAAATCTCTACATAAAGCCCACATTTTATAATTTTTTGACAAATTTGCCCTTTTTATAATTTTAACCGAAGATAAATTTTTCGCACTAAAAAAATGTGGAGCAGCACCGGATCGCCGAGGATCACCGGAGAATCGCCGTCGTCATCGGAAAACGAGGTTTGTAACGCATCGTAAGGACGAAATGGTGGCTGGCGCCTAGCCAAAAGGCCATGCCGTGGTTGTGGCGCCTAGCCAGGACGCCGCCACCGTGGTAACGGCGCCTGGTGGAGAAGCCTCGACCATAGTAGTGGCGCGTGGCCAGGACGCCGGAGCCACGGCCAAGGCGCCTGGCCAGGACGCCGCCACCATGGCGGCGGCGTCCTGACCAAGCGCCCCGGCCGTGGCTCCGGCGTCCTGACCAGGCGCTCAGGCCGTGGCTCTGGCGTCCTGGCCAGGCGCCACTAGGGGAATATATTTTTTTTTTATTTTTTTTTTTATTTTTTAATTTAATCCCCTTTTTTTTTTTTTGTTTTTGTTTGTTTTTGTTAATTTAATCTTAATGTAATTATATTTATACGTTATATGTTATTGTTACAGGATTATGGTGGAGACGGAAATGATTACAGTGGGATTTTTGTACATGATGGCCTGTTCGAAGATGCTCAACAAGCGATTGATTGGGCAAAACAGGTTGCAATTAGATCAGGCTTTTGTTTAGTAGTAGCAACTCATAAATCTCAACGGGATGGTAGAATGGATCGCATTTTGAGATGCGACCGTTATCGCAAAAGAGAAGAACGAGATTTCAGTAAAGCGATTCGGTTTGACTCAAAGCGGAAAGGTTGTGGGTGTCAGTTCCGAGTTAAGGTTCGACAACATCAAAGGCGTGACGGTTGGGAAGTGAAGGGTTACGGCAAATGGGGATATCACAACCATGAGCTGATAGCATACAAAGTGGGGCATCGGCAGTTAAGCGGCCTAAGTCCAGCTGCGAAACTAGTTGTAAAAGAAATGAGTGATGCTCAAGTGAAGCCCGCTAAAATATTAGCGTCTGTGTTAGAGAAATTCCCCGAAGACCAGCCAAACCGAAGACACATCTACAACGTCAGACAGAAATTGAGGTTTGAACGGTCAGAGGGAAGGAACCCTATACAGCAGCTTCTGCACCAGGCACAAGCACGTGGTTACCTTTACTGGTTTGAATCTGACGAAGACACATCGGAGGTAACTCATTTGTTCCTTGTCCATCCTGATTGTGCTGATATGATTTCGTCTTGGCCATCTGTGATTTTGATCGATTCAACGTACAAGACAAACAAGTACAAGTTCCCACTGGTTGAGATGGTTGGGATGGCTCCAACGAACCAGAACTTTCTGATTGGTTATGCAGTCATGAAGGATGAGACGGCTGCGAGTTACCGTTGGGTGTTGGAAAAGTTGAGAAACTACATCGGCCCAAATGTACAGCCATCGGCCATCGTAAGTGATTGTGAGGGAGGTCTTTTTGCCCCTATAGCGGAGCTGTTTCCGGAGTCGAGCCATTTACTGTGCACATGGCACATCAACAACTGCGTGAAAGTCAAAGCCTACAATCTTTTCAACAAGAATTTAGTAACAGCAGAGACATTGGTAAATGGTAAGTGGCGGAAGATCATGCAAGCTACCACAGAGGCAGAGTACGATCGAGCCTTGGAAAACTTCAAGGATGCGTACAAGTGGTGCCCGCCAATCGTAGACTATGTGATGCATCAGTGGGTACCTCAGAGGGAAAAGTTTGTCAAATATTGGACGAACCAAGTTTTTCATTTTGGGAACACTACGACATGCAGAGTCGAGAGCGCTCATAGAGCTTTGAAGGACTGGATTGATTCTTCCACGGCTGCTCTGGATACACTGTTCGAGAGAATAAACAAGGCTATTGATACTCAGAGGAACGGCATCAAGAACTATCTCGAGGACTCCAGACGACGACATGGCATGTTGTATGGCCATTTCATATTTAAGATTCTCCACGGTCGTGTGTCACACCACTGTTTGGGGTTGATTCTGAGCGAGTATACCAGGATGAGGGAGTTGGGCGATGAAGTGGCTATTCGGTGCGGATGTGCTATATCAATGACTCATGGATTACCTTGTGCATGCACCATTCACCGCGTAATTACGCAAGACAGGGCGTCGTTACATGTCGATCAGGTTCATCCATTCTGGCGGACGCTCGTTATCGGAGAGCATGCTGTTCCGCATACGGTTCACCGTGAACAGGAGGAGTTGGAGCAGTTTCAGTTGATGTTTGACCAAGTGTCCTCCAGTCACCCTTCGATCATTCGTAGTGCTACACACATACTTCATGACATGTTCAATACATCGTGTTTGGATACCGAGGAACCGGAAGGGGTCGAGCGACCTAGGGGTCGACAACCACGGCGGAACAAGAGTGCGTTTGAGTACATTCGCGGTCGTGGCCGTGGCCGTGGCCGTGGTCGTACATCCTCATCAAGTGGCAGCCAATCATCGTCGTCGGTGAATATGCCCGGCACCGGTAAGACATTCGACTTCAATTTCTTTTGTTGACTGTTTGATTAGTTTACTGTTGACTTGTTTATTGTGTTTATTGATGTGTGTAACAGGGAGAATGGACATTGAACATTTTCCATATAAGGACAGGATCCCTAATATCATGATGCCATTCTTGGACGGGTGGAATGATGTCATTGCAGATGGTAACTGCGGATTTCGGGTTGTGGCGGATGTGTTTCAAATGGGTGAAGACAACTACGGTTTAGTGCGGCAGTTGATGTACAGTGAAATCGCATCAAACCGAGATGTGTATGGCCATGTGTACGGCGAGGACTTGGATAGGTCTCTGCAGCGTATCCGGTGGGGAGGGGGACCTTGCGGTCAAAATCATTGGTTCGATGCGCCACTTGATCTCTTTGCCGTTGCAAACATCTACAAGTGTGCAGTCATGCATTTCGGCCTTGGTTTACATAGTCGAGCCTATTATCCATGTACAACGGTTCTGCCCTGGTGTTCGCGCGAGACCGTCACCAGACCGGTAAGGGACGTTGCTATTGGATTTCTTGGGCCGTCATACAGACATTTTATCCGATTAGACATGTCACCCGATTTTCCGGTCCCACATATCATACCGAAGTGGTATGAAATTTGTAGAGCAAGCGTGGAGGGTTGGGATGCTTTGTACCATGCTCGCGTGCAACAGTGGAACAATTTAATTGCCATGTAGTTTTTGTTGATGTACACCTACCTTTTACTATGAGGCCTTGTATTGTCAATACTATGTCATTTCTATGTGTTCATTTTTAAAAGATAATGTTTCATTTTAAAAACTAACAACAATAATTTCAAATATTACAAACTAAAAAGATAATATTGAATTTTAAAAACTAAGAACAATAATTTCAAATATTACAAACTAAAAAGATAATGTCTAATTTCAAATATCAGTAATCCCTCTGTGACGCCCACTGCCACTGCTCAAGGGTCCGTTCCAGATCGTCAATAACAGCTCTGCCTGATGCACTCGTCATGCAGTCCCTTTCCTCAAAAAGTCGGTGTCCCAACTGCATAATCTTGCCCATCCACTACACAAAACAAAAAACATGAAACGACGTATTATACATATATATATTAAAATAAGAGAACAACAAATAAAAGATGAGACGTACCGCATAAGAGGCAGTGGCAGGTGGCACATCGTCATCATCTGCGTCGTCGATGTCTTTGATCAACCTCGGGTGCGAGTGCCGGATGTACCATTCCATGTAGTGCTGGTCACACATGGCAGTCACCCCACTTGGCGGCCGCTGCAGCTCCGCCGTCCATAGGCGGGCAACCATCGGAAACTGCTCCCACATGGATATCATGTTTGACGGCCATTGGACGACGTACTCCTTCGACGACGCAGATCGTACCGCCTTACTGGGCCATGCCGGTGGAGGTGGGACAACTTGGACAAATCCAAGCTGGCGAAGACAGCGCTGCGGCATGTACGCCTCTACGATCTCGCGATACTGAATCAGTCCGGTGTAGAGGGTCCTGGGTACCCTATTACTAGGGTTCTGGCCGAAAGGATCCAGTTCACCTGCACATTATTTAAAATCAGTAACAGCCATAAAATAAAGCATCAGATTGTAAAAGTAGAAATAATTTAATCACTGTACCTGTAAGGGGGACATCCTGTCAAGCGATAACCGTATGGAGCGCAGGCGGTCAACGGGCTTCTTCTCGACACGCGGACTCCACGCACAGGCACGTGGCTGGCCATCACCAATGGGAACCGGGTCGCGGTGTGGTCGAAACGCAGGAAAATACTCGTATATCCAGGTCTGTAACAACGTCAGACATCCAGTGATACCTGCTGCATCAGCCCGGCTCGAGAATCCTAACTGGCGATACAGATACGCCAGCGTAGCCGACCCCCAAGAAAACTGGCCTACTCTGTCGGGCTCACACGCGTCAACTATGTCGCGTGGCCTGAGCTTGTTCCCGCTCTTATCCGGAAACAAGGTACACCCGAGAAGAAGAAAAACATATGCAGCCAGCTGTGTGTCCTGCGTCCTACGTGCCGTAGGGTGCAAACATCGCTGCAAGACGGCTGCGATCTTAACGCCGCCGTGATCCCACACACCAAGTGCCGATGTGTACAGCGCAGCCCTATCCACCGCCAACAGCTCCGCTAGTAAATCTGCCTGATCCGCATCAGTGACGACAGATGCTCGGTTTCCCTCCACGGGAATCCCAAGGATGGCCTCGACGTCATGCAACATGATCGTCATCTCACCGAACGGAAGGTGGAACGAGTTCGTATCCGGCTGCCATCGCTCAACGAAAGCCGTGATCAGCGTCCAGTCAATCCTGTCGTGCATGGTGGCAGGAAGGTGACTCACTCTAGTGCCCCTCAATCGCCCGACCATCTCGCTCTCCTCCGGCCAAGCATCAGCCCAGCTACACAAAAACCTACAAGTCTTTTCCCGGGTTTGGCATTTCAAAATGCCTGTATCCAAAGCCCTCTCCTGGTCCTCCCAAATACGGGTAGCGATGTGTCCTAAAAAGCTAGGAATCACACTCCCGTCTATAGGTCCCCCGGCCACCTCACCCCTCACCATCCAAGAATCATTAACGGCCCTCGACCGTTTTCTGCTACCCGCAGACACAGTGGACGCAGATGATGTGCCAGATCTACTAACAAACCTACCATCTCGACCCTTACGCACATCTACCCTATGCGTCTCATACGTATCATCAAGCCTCTGACTGAATGGACCGTAATCATCATATGGTCCACTCTGATCGTCGACATCCTCATCTGCATCATCCTCGTCCTCGACCTCCTCCTCCTCCTCCTTCCTCATCATCATCATCATCATCTTGATCGTCCGCAGAACAGTGCACCCGTTCTCTGCGGGCCGAGGCCGAAATACCACGGGATCTAACGTGTCTGGGCCCCGAGCTCTCCATTGAGTAGATCGTACTCCTCACGACGTCAATACTCTTCCCCGCACCAGGTCTAAATTGCGATGCCTAACTCCAAGTAAATAACGAAACATAATAACGAAAACAAATTAAAAAAAGTCGAAAATAAACACAAAAACAAATAAACAAGTCACGGAAATAAAATTATAAACATAAAAAATATAAATATATACAAGACAATATACATATAAACATAAGAAATATAAACATAAACATATACCAAAAACAAAAAATATAAACTACAAACAAAAAAAAAACAAACATAAACAAAAACAAAAACAAAAAATATTACCAAAAACAAAAAATATAAATACAAAAAAGGACGAAAATAAACACAAAAGCAAATAAACAAGTAACGGAAATAAAATTATAAACATAAAAAATAAAAATATAAACAACACAATATAAATAAAAACATAAAAAATATAAATATAAACATAAAAAAATATAAATATGAACAAAACAATATACCAAAAACAAAATATATAACCAAAAACAAAAAATATAAACAACAAACTAAAAAATGAAAAACAAAAACAAAAAATCAAAAATGCAAAGAAAAAACCAAAAACAAAAAACTAACAAAACTTAAAAAATTTAAAATTGCAAAAACTTAAAAAAAGAAGAACATCAAAATTTTAAAGAAAATTTATAAAAAAAAAAGGGAACTTATAATTTTTTTACATACAAAAATATAATTCAAAAAAAAAAAAATACATAGGAACATAAAATTAAAAATTAAAACCAGATACAATTTTTTTTTTTTAAAAAAAATAGAACATAAAATTAAAACAAATAAAAAAACAAAATTTTAAAAAAAAAGATAAAAAAAAAAAGGGAACATACAATTTAAAAAAAAGAAAAACAAATTTTTAAAAAAAAAAAAAAAAAATTCGAAAATAAAATTTAAAATTAAAAAAAAACAAAAAAAAACATTTAAAAAAAAAAAAAAGAAGGAGGCGCCTAGGCAAGACGCCCGTACGGTGGTGGCGGCGCCTAGCCCAGACGCCACTACCACGGCCGTGGCGCCTAGCCTCTGCGCCGCCGCCGTGGTAGTAGCGTCTGGGCTAGGCGCCGCCACCACCGTATGGGCGTCTTGCCTAGGCGCTTCCTCCGTGGTGGTGGCGTCTCGCCTTGGCGCCCCACCGTCGCCGGAGGTTTTTTTTTTAAAAAAAAAATTACAAAAATTAAAAAATTACCTTCTGGCCGGCAAACCGCCTTCCGCCCACCGCCGGTGCCGCCACTTCCTTGCCGGGCCGCCTCGACATAGCTCTGGAAATAATTTAGAGAGAGAAAGTGGAAGTAGAGAGTAGAGAGAGAAATTGTGTGTTTTTTAGTATGAGGGCAAAAGTGTCATTTCACTCTTATTTTGTGGGCTTTATGTAGGAATTTGCGGGCGATGTTTAACAGTTCACAAATTTTATTGCTTGAGTATTGATTGAATTATTATTGTTTGGTTTAGGAGAGGACTTCGTAGAGGGTGATTTCTAGTTCCTAAAGTGGCCAACCAACTTGTTTACTCAAGGTACGTACAAGGACACGAAAACCTTGACTTTAGAAGCATGTTTAAGGACTTGGAAAAATTAGAATCATGTTAGGGAAACTTCACTAGTAGAAAAATTGAAATAGGCACCCCCTCTTTAGCACCGGTTCTTGAAAACCGGTGCCAAAAGAAATGTGCGGGATTGAAAAATTCAGAGTTGGCACCGGTTCTAAACTAAACCGGTGCCACTAATTTAATTAGCACCGGTTCAAACCGGTGCCAACTTATATATTAAAAAAAAAAAATTGGCATAGAGTTGGCACCGGTTCTCCTTAAACCGGTGCCAATGATGTTAATTAGCACCGGTTTAAACCGGTGCCATATTTGAAAAAAAAAACCGGGTTAGCTAGTTAATTAACGTCTTTCTTCACCTTTTCATTTCATTTTTCCCTTGAAATTTCCCTCTTCTCTTCTCCCAGCATACTCCATTGATGTTGGTGTCCATTGAAGCAGTTCTTAGCTTTCTCATACTTCCATTGAAGCAGTTCGTTGCCGCACTGCACGCACCACCTTCAATTCTCCTCACTCCGTATCTCTCCTCCATTGAAGCAGCTTCAAGGTAAGTAGCTAGCTTAGGTTTCACTTACTCCATTGAATTCCTTGGCATTCTTGGCTTTTTTGAGTAATTATAAGTTTTTTGTAAATAGGGTTTGTCAATTAAACGCGCACGGCTCCCCCTCCACAACGACCTTCTTGTCACGGCTCCCCCTTCACTATGGTGAGCTTGCCTTTCTTCTTTCTGTTAGTTCTTGTGATGGCTGTGTTGTGCTTTCTGTTCTTGTGATGGCTGTTTTGCTCATTCTTTGTGGGTGGTAGTGTTGCTGGTTGGTGGTGGTGCAATTATTGGTTGTATGGGCTGTGGTGTGTGCTGGTGGTGGTTGGTGGTGGTGTAATTAGTGGTTGTATGGGCTGTAGTGTGTACTACTTGTAGTTGGTGGTGGTGTAATTAGTGGTTTTATGGGCTGTGGTGTGTGCTGCTGGTGGTTGGTGGTGGTGTAATTAGTGGTTGTATGGGCTGCGATGTAGTGCTTCTGGTGGTTGGTGGTGGTGTGTTGCTGTGTAGTAGTGTGTTGTAATTAGTAGTTGTTCTGTTGCCTTGCTTTTGACTAGTTTGTGCTAGGAGTGTTCCCTTTTTGTAGGGTGTGTGTTTTTTTGTCTTAGTCATTGTCTAGTTTGCGCCGTTTGTATGTCGTTTTGTTAATTAGCCGTGCGTGGTTGCTACAATTGCTAGCTTTTGCATAATCTATCCCCATTTTCTCTCTCATTCCTTAATCATATGCCCCTATTTTTTCTTATTATATATCCATTTCTCATACTTACTAACTTCTGTTTTTTGTTTTGTTTTTTCTTTTTGCATTTTTATAGATTCATATGTGAATTGAAATTCAAGTTTAGCTTGAAGACTACATATTTAGCACAAGTGGGAAGTTAGAAAGAATACATCCATTGTATTGGTATGAATTATAAACTTCTCTAAGCTATATATATATATCTTTCTCTTTATTGTTTTGATAAAACTTTTTTCATGCTACCTATTACGACTTGTGTATTATATAATGACAAATAAATACAACAATAAATATATGAAATGGTTGCATCATCTTATGCCTAGATACCCGTTCAAGGCTTTCTCATTAGGAGAAAGTCTTGAATAGTCCCCGGTTGGGACTGTTCTTGAACGTTTACTCTCACTTAGGTGGTGAACGTTGAATCATGTTAACCGCTGCCAAACGCTTTAGTTGGCACCGGTTTTGAACCGGTGCCAAATTTTTAGGGATTTGGCATCCCTCAAATCCCCAACGGTTCAAAACCGGTGCCTTAGGGGGGGTTTGAACCGGTGCCTTTTAACCTTATTCGTCTAGTGCTTGTAGATTGGTTGAATTTTTTTGGTAGTGAGTTTGATTATGATTAATGTGATGATTAGTCTGATTCGTATATGGGAAATGCGTATTGATTCTTCTTGTAAGTATTATTTATGCAATAAATATGTGGAATGAATTATCTTATT